AAAAAAAAAAAGAAAAAAAAAAGAAAAAATCTTTATTTCATAGAGCTCCTTTTCAGAAAGTAGACCCATATTTGATGTACACATTAAATGAGACTAGGGCACTGAAATGAGAGATGCTAATACTGTACAGGCTGCCTCTGCTGTGCAAGGCTAGGCAGGAGGACCCCCTCCCCCCTCAGCAGAAAAGAAAAACAAATTGTTTTTTTTGGCCATTTTTTCTTTTTTGCAAAAACAATAACGATTTGTGTAGAAACAAGCAATGTTTTGCATCTGTCACCTCCCACTTATAACCCTTCAGTGTGTGGAAGAAAAAAAAAAAAGTCCCAAACAACTTCAGTTGAAAGGATTAAGTTATAGCAATATGCACACCATCAAGTGTACAATTTGTCAAGGTTCATTTGATTCTAATAAAATACTTTAGAACCCATATATATTTCATATTTATCTTTTTGGGGGTATATGGATCAAAAAAAAAAAAAAAAAAGACATTAAATCATAAAGATAGCCTGGAAGGAAAAGGGTGGGGGGGAAAAAAAACAAAACAAAAAACAAAAAAACAAAAACAAAACCCAACCACCCCAAAAAACAAGACTCTACTAAAGCTACAAATGGTCATCCACCATCTCCAAGGAAAGGAGAGGAGAAAGAAAGAGGTGGGGATAAAGAAAGGGAGAGAAGGTAAGAGCGAGGGAGGCAGGGAGAGGATTGGCCAAGCTATACAGCGCAGTATGACACCCACTTTAGCTCATTACACACGTACAGTCGTGATCAAGGCACAGGGATCTTCTAAAAGTTTTTTCCTCAATAAAGTTGTACAAAATAATACATTTTACAGTCTGTACAAGAATAATAGTTCAGCAGTAAAGTAAAGACAGACATACAAGGGAGGAGAGGAGGAATGGTGGAGGGAGGAATGGCAGGGAGGTGCAAGCACACAGGTGGGGGCAGAAAAAAAAAAAAGTCCCATTTTGTTGTGTTTTTAATATTCCAAGATTAATATATCTTATTTTCTCTTTAAAATGAAAGACCACTGCCAGGAAGGTAAAAGTGCAAATGGAAAAGGTGGCGGTGAAGAGGGTGGGCGAAAGATTGAGAACGTGTAGAGAACAGGTGACAAAAGGATGACAAAGAGTTGAGATAAAGAAAGAGCGCACAGGGCACAATGGCACAAAAGTCTACACAGAGAAAAACATCTGTGGAGACTGTATAACAGGATGAGAGTTCTCTTTAACTTATATGGTACTGTACTGTTGAAGGATGCCCGTCGCCCTCTATTGAAAGTCCCATAGAAGTTGGCATTTCTGGTTCTTTTTGTTTTAAACTCAATATATCCTCCTCACGTGATGCTCCGATACCAACAAGACAAAGTCAGGTGGCAAAACAGTTCTGTAGAGAAGCCGCTGGCGCCCCGGTCAATCACGGCCGACACCTCCCATCAGAGAAACTCAAATCGCAGTTGGCTCCCATCCCGTTTTAGTGAACACCTGCTCGAGTGAAGTCTCACCAACACACCCGTGGTCTGGTTAAGTCTGTGGTAACGCTGCTCCTCTGGGCTCGGCTGAGCTTCGCCCGTTTAATCTCAAAAACACCGACCCAGATAAATAGCCGGCATCTCAACGAAATGCGAGCAGGTACGTGCGTTGCCAGATTGACCCCCTGTTGTGCAGTCCAGTAAAAAGCAGGTGAGATATGTTGTGTGTGCACAAGCAGAGCCACTGGATTTAAAGATGTCTCTAAGTGAAAGGAAGGTTTGGTGTACATGGTTTGAGTCAAAGTCCTGAGCACAGTGCTTGTTTTTTTGTTTTTTGTCTCTTTTAAATACAGTGTTCAGTTGATCTGCTGTGATATATTCATTCTCCATTTGCAGTAATTCATCTCTTTCCCAATTGCACTGAAGTAGTAGCTCTTAGTTTTCAGCCCAATCAGGGGAGAAAAAACCAAAAAAAAAGAAAAAGACGAACAAAACTCAAGCTGCAGCTCCAACTCTCGCTGCAGGAAACTCTGTCCGGACTGGGCCACTTTTCTGTTTTTAGGAAGATGAAGGTAACGTGAAGATAACATGATGTCGAAAGGTGAGGAGCTGGGAGTATGGCTGAAAGTCAAGACTGAAGTCTGTTTTACGTGTAAGCCCCTCAAACCCATCCGTCAAAAATTCTGCATCAGGTAGAGAGTTTGCATCAGGGGAATTTCTGGGTTCACGGCATGTTTACTATAAGTGCGTGTGTGTTTTGGCCACTGTTGTGTCACAAGAGCTCTCATACTTCTGCAGAAGAGTTCAGAGACGCAGGTTCAGGGATTTCTTTTTCGTCTTCCATAGTCCGATCTGGTTTTATCTTTTTGGCCTAACACCTTTCCTCTCCCATCACAACAGCTCGTACTGCCGCAGGTGCATCCGCTGGATGATGTCTCGACAGTCATTAAAGACGCGGCGGATGTTCTCTGTGTCGACGGCGCAGGTGAAATGGGGGTAACAGTAGTGCCTTCCATCTCCACTTGCTGTGCTGATCCTCTGTAGAAGAAAGGAAAAGTTACAAAGCTGCTAAACAACTTTTGTGCAGCAGAAACGTCTCCAAATTTTATTAAAGCATAACCCCCGCCCCTCCACTGCATACATTTAAAAACAAATCCCATGAAAGACAGCTACGCACTTACCAGGAACTCATCTCTGATGAAGTACTTTGCCCTTGTAACACGCGGATCTTCTCCAGGTTCTGGCGTCGCTGTAAGAGGAGACAGAGGCCAGTGACTAACTTCTCACCATATGCAATTTCACAGGTAGAGAATTTAAACATGACAATGCAACAACTAGTAAGGAGGCACTACAACTCTATAGCAGAATGTGTAAGACGTAAAAAGAAGCTTTCCACCTCACAGAGCAAGCGCTTCACTACAAAAAACTTCCAGGTGTATCCAGGATGACCCCTTGTGGTGAATGATATCAAAGACATCCTTTCAAATTTCTGGATGAGTTGTTGCATCGAATTTTCCATTTTTTTTTAATGATAAATTTCATTGATGAAAATAAAAATGTGTTTTCACGTCGGTATAATTTTTTATTGTACTTAATCTTAACTAACACACACACACACACACACACACACACACACACACACACAGCTCAAAATCAGATGCTGTAATAAGGCAGCTCACCATCATCAGGTGTGGTGTAGCGAGCAAATTCTGGGAAGTATTCTTCGATTTTAGACTTCCCTGCCAACACCTTCTCTGCAAGCAGGTCCTGTTTATTTAGGAACAAGATGACAGAAATGGTCCGCAGCCACCTGAGGAAGACGAGAGACTGAAATAAGATCACACTGAAATATAAAACTGCTTCCAAGTGTGAAAAGACAAAGTTCAGTCAGCCAAAATAAGCCATAACAGGGGCCAGCAGATAACAGTTCCCTTAGGACTTGCTCAAAGTGTTCTAGCTTCGAAACCATGTTTGATAAATAACTTGTCTACCCTTGAGAGGCTGAAGTGCTGCGAAGGCTTTCTGATTTCCTATGCTGTCAACTTAATCTCGGGATTAAATACAAAACAAACCACAAGTCCACAGGATGACAGGTTTGGCGTCTTTCCTCACCTGTTGTTCCAGATATTCTTGAAGAGGTTGAGGGCCTCCTGTAAACGGTTGGTCTGATTGTCCTCTCGGATCACCATGTTGTAACTGCTACTGGCCACCACAAAGATGATGGCTGTTACGTCTGAGGAAGAGGGAGGAATGGCGATAAATCAGACACCGTGAGAGAAAAGGATACGAGTCAAGGGAAGTGAGAGGAAATAAACACCACTTACCATTAAAGCACTGAATCCATTTCCTGCGCTCATCCCTTTGACCGCCGACATCAAACATACTGTACAGATATAAATGTAAACATGGAAAATGCTGCCATCATGTGGAGAAAATGCATATGTACAGCTGATTTGTGTTTATATCCTCAGCAGACACTGTAGATTACCTTTGAAAGAAACTGTTACTCTCCACCCTTTTTACTTACTGGAAATTAACTTTGTCCACTTGGAATCTCGTCTCAAAGATCCCTGAAGTCAGTACTCTGCACCTCAGCAAATCCTGGTGAACAGGAGTGACAAATGTAACAACAAGGCTTTTATGTGCCAGATTAGAGTGACAAACCTGGAGAAACACTCACAAGATACAAATCCAACATATGGAATATTTGGACAATATACTGAATTTCAAAGTGAAAAATAAGAGGATATAACACATTTGAGTTTGGCACCAAAGGAGCAAAAGCATAACTTTAATATGTGACAGGGCCCAAAATGTTAAAGTCCCTTCCTCATAAAATACTATTCAGGGGAAATAGTTGTATAGTTAAATGTAGGATATTATTAACTTTGTAGTGGAAGAAGTTCACCCACCTGATCTGTTGGAGTGTAGTCACTCTGTTTCACAATGTCGATCTTGTCTAGAAAGCTGAAAAGACGAGAGACACAAAAGGCAAGAGAACAGTTACCGGAGTAATACTATAGACCACACAGTGGTTTCATATTTGTAAGACTTGTACAGGTGTGCTCAAGGAGTCAAATGAGACCAAAAAAAAAAAACAAAACAAAAAAAAACAAAAAAAACAAAAAAACAAAAAAAACAAAAAAAAACACCAACACTGGTATAATACCAGGCATGACTGTGCACTTTTTCCTCCAGCAACACTTAAGTATCATCTCTCATGTACATCGCCACAGCTGTGGTATTATATGAAATACAAAACCAGTTTGCCAGAGGCTGTCCGTGTGGTTTTGAGCCCGACATACTGACTGAGACTTAAAGTCTCCAATAGAGAGATACCAATAAAACCAACTTTTGAATTTAATTGTATTTTTCTACAGCAGATGACCTTGAAGGTAGAAGCATCCTCGCTGCTCACTCAATATGCAGGGAAAACACTGAAGCTGTTGTCCAGTATGCCAAAATGCGTCAATGTGAAAGCAGGGAGTGAGCATAGCTACAAGTGATCATGACAACTCAAAGGGCAGAAGACGATAGATTCAGGTTACACCCAGCTTGAGGAAACTAAGATCTTATGGAGAAGAGTACAGTGCATTCAGTAGTTTTAATATGTATAGTATTTAATGTAGCTTTTTCCTCATTTGCAAGAGAAGGTGGGCCTCCTGCAACATCTGCAATTATTTCACATTTGAGTAAAAAGGATGACCAAGAAGTGCTATGTTAAAGATCAGAACAAGCCGCAGGCAGCATTCAAACATCTTGCCAATGACAGCAGGTCATCAATATATCATGGAAGACATGGATGAACTAGGAAACAGGAAGAGGAAGTGGGCAGTGAGAGAATCTTTGGGATTCTTTGAAGGTCCGAGCAACCACCAGCCCCATCCGGAGAGGGAAGAAAGAAAGAGGAGAAAAAAAAAAGTGTCCAGAAGGAAAGATGAGAACACACACACACACACACACACACACACAAGAGTGGAAGAGGTAAAGAAACAGAAGGAGAGAGACAGAATGAAGGTGTAGTGGCGTCTGTCTGACATTACAGAGCAGATTTCAAAAATAGCTCCCCAGCGCCCTGGCCTGCAGCACGGTTACCATGGAGACCCAACCACAGGCACTATTAATAGTCTATCAGCACCCAATCTCGTGCAGCTGGAGTAGCACCAGAAAGAAGACAGACTGATGGAGAAAGGGGAAAAAAAAAGGAGGAGAGAAGGAAAGAAAGAGCAGGATGAGTTTGTGTTGTGTGCAAGGAGGAAGGAGGAGGGATCACAGACTGGACTGTACCACTTGAGTGAGGAAATCAACTTTTTAAAGATCAAACCGATCTAAAGTTCTCAATGACCGGATGCATTATTCACCAGGATTGATTTATTAGTAAAAAACAGTCGAGACTACAGGGTCATAGTCAAGAGCTGAGCAGCGAAGGTATCCTCCTCAAACATCACCCCCCTCTAAGCATCCTCTGATCTGTAGATGACTCAGCCTCCGCCATGTTTGCTCCCAAACCCTGCAAACTGCAGCTGTTACACGACTCCTTCACTATACATTCTTTGTGGTTTTACCTGCTTTTGTTTGGAAAAAATATATAAACTGGACAACTCTGACCCATAAAAAGTACATTTAGGACCCCCCTTAATCACTTAACGTATGCACATCCAGATTTTAAGATTTCAACCAGTGACTCCTGTCTCAGCTCCCTTTTAAAAGTCATCCACCTTTGTTAGGATGACTCCATACTCCTGACAGGTTATGATAACTTTGCTGTTTTTATTTGTAGCAGATGCAGAGTGCTCCAAGTCTCGTCAGTGATTTTTAGAAGTCCGCAGGTATTTAATGTATGCCAAAAATATGACCCTTTAAGTTTTATTTCAGTGTTTACCAGGACATGAAAACTGCATGTTTAGAAACACCACCAGACTAAGCTGTTTTAATAATAGTGATGCACTGTATCCGTCTTAATTCAGCAAGAGACTCATTTCCCTTTATGCTGAAGAGCTTTGATATTGTCGGACTTACTCCTAATCGAGATGATTTCTAGCTAGTTTTCCCTCATTAATGCACTGAATCAGCATCGTCAAATCTAATCTTCTCCACTACACAATTGCATGCTAGCATTTTCACATACGACCACACTTGTCATTTACATGTGTAAGGGTGCGTTGGTGCCCGCACATTGGGAAAATGAGAGGAAACAGAAGTAGGGCGTTTCTATCTGCTGGGTTGATTTTAAATTAGAGCTTCATGCAACTTTGTTTATAGACTAGCTACTTTACCTCTTTTCCTGAACTTTGAGTCAGTGTGTTGTTGAAAACATGCAGTGTGTGGTGAGGGTATGGAGAAGGGTTCAGAAAAACAGAATCAAGTCTTTGTTAAGACTCAACCAAATGTTTTGACTTGACTGTGACACGTTTGTTTTGAGTTGTTCATCTCATAAACTCGAGTATGAGCACCGGTTACAGTAGTGAAGTCCATAACTGTATGTAGAGGTGGTATATGCCAATATTACCTATGAGCTTTCTCCTCTTGATGGGAAATAAACTCTGGATCTCATTGCATTTAGTTTTTAAATCTTTTTTAAAGCACAGTTAATATTATGTAGGGTGCATAGTGCTTCCCTAACGAGTAGATTTTTTGGCAATCTCTTAGGGAGCTAGAGCATTCATACTATCCGGTCTTTAAGTCTGATATTATTAGCCGTTTCTGGGTCCAAGCTACACTTTAAACAAATATAGCAGCATCACAGAGTTACAATTTTGCCTAAATTCTTTCCTCTTTAATAAAATGATCAATGTGACTGCTCTACCAGGTGTAACAATTAGGTTTAACATACAGGCATTCACCATAACAGAGCTAGCAGGGAGCTACAGATGGAAACCATGATCTGATTGAGATTTCTGAAAAAATTAAAACTTACAGCTCTATCACAGCCGACAAAAATGAAGACAGAAAACTAAACAACGATGTTTGCAGGGTTACTGAAGTTGGGCTAGCTGGTATATAATGTTGTTCTATGTCACTGCTAGCTACACAGCTATGATTTGCATAATATAAACACATTAGTACACTAAAGTTGGAAGATGAATGCCAACTTTTTTCCACTCAATAGAAGATCATGTGATGGTTCCCGATGGTTAGGGATAAATGCAATTGCATATCAGGAAGCTGTAAACAGACTAAACTTCAGTCAGGAGAACAACTGAGATAATCCATTCAAAATATGAGGTTGGTCATTAATATACTACTGCATGGGGCTTTAGTTACATCATAAGGTTTTAAAAGCTGAGCTTTAATAATGAATAGTGGTAATAAAAGTGACAGAGGTCGACAGTGATCACTGAATTTTTTGTTTTGGGGGGCTTGCTCAGATGACATTGAATAAGATACAAACCAAAACCCAAACCAAAAACAGCCTTAATAAACGCAGAGTAGTTTGGACCTGGAAGCAGGGTTCATACATCATCACTTAACAACCGGATTGACGAGGCTAGGGCTCACATTGCTATCATCTAGTTTTGAGTCCTTAGTTGTCATTTAATCTAAGGAAATAATTTAGCCAGATTTAAGGAAATTAAGGTAAAATGCACTTTTCTATAATACATGGTCTCATTGCCATATAGGAGTCATGAATTGAAAAAACCCAACTAGTATGCCTTACCTGACATGAAACCGCTTAGTAGCGCACATGCTGGGATCAGGATGAGCATGTCTACCCCAGATTTCACCCTACTTATGCTTTAGTCATAAAACCGGAAGTATTAGAACAAATACGAAAACATACTTCAGTCTCTACTTCTTTGTCAATAATGCAACTGTTCATCCTGCTTGTAACCGGCTTCCAGCAGGACCTGACACCATCTCAAACTGAAAGGAGCCGCTCTGCTATGCAACTTCTAGGATGCCCCAAGTACACAACATTTGCCTCAGATTACTAGTAATAAGCTTCTGTAACTCAAAGCAAACAAAACAATAAATAAAAAAAAAGACAAACTACACCAACTATAAGATAACCACACAAAATGGCACCACATGCACAGTATCAATAAAAACTAGAAGTTATCCCTCACAGAATCCTCACATTTATAAATCACGTCACCATGAAGTTGAACTTAAGTTACTTACTACTGTGCACAGTCGATTAGCTGGTACTCATTGGATCTCTCATAGCAAGCCCGGACACCTTCGTCTTGCCACAGTGTCTTTGCGTGATCGTAAAACTCCTGAGAACAAGAAGATTTGGGGGGGGGAGAGAAGATGAATCATACAGGCAGAACAGGAGAATTGAAGCATCAGCAAAAGTTGGACATTGTTAGTAATCATGTTTATCATGAAATTACAAAAAACAAGTTCTGTGTCACTGCAGTGGACAACATTAGAACCACTGCATGATTAAACAGGATTGAGCAACAGCTCATGTGCTTAAACATGTTTCAAAGTAGGCGATTGTGTGTATTCCCTGTGCATGTTACACTGAACATGACATGAAACGGGGGGAGAGAGAAAAAGTACAGGGCTGTCTGTTGTCCATGATGTGTATGTGAGGGCACCTCCTGCTCAGCGTTTCTGTTGTGCCTGGGCGATGTCTGTGTGCACATCTTTAAAAAGGTAAATAAGGGTGCAGATTCCTCACAGCAGACAGACTTTGTGACATGCAGATATCAAATCAATGAAGCATTTATCTTTTTTGCACTCTTAACACCTTTGCCGATTTCATTTTAAGGAAGTAAAAAGTTGCAGAAACAACAGCAACAACACCACCTCTGTGTGTCACTCACTGACCACTTTGAGCACACCCGTTAAACCTGACTTGAACTGTCCGGAGCATTGTACATGCATGCTTCTTAACTGGCTTCATGGTGGCTGGTGGTGTGCTGGATTGCATTACACGGCATGTTCCCAATATTTTGTCCACTCCATTAACATACATGGAGAAACATTAGGCAATGTCAAGCACTCCGGTACACCACCAGTCACTATGTGAAGCCAGTAACAAAGCTGACTTGTCGCTTCTTTAATAACATCAAAAACTGAAAGTGTGCAAGCTTTGTGAAGGTGGAGTTGATGTTTGAACTGTTGCTCAGGCTTACAGTAGATTTTACGAAATGAAGTGGCAACACTATGAGAATCATTGCTATAAAAAGGACCATTTTATAACTGCAGCATCCAAACCCTTCATGCTTAAAAAACACGCAATACATATTTAGCACAGTTTTTAAAAATGGATCATTCGGTCTGCTGCCCCTGAACCTCTCATCAATGTCACAGAAACATGGCCATTAGTCAGGTGACTCTGCTCCTAGATTTAAAAAGGAACAAGTTTGATTTCCTTAGAGTCTTCCAGTCCCTATGAGCACACTGTTGAGCATTTTGACAAAACCCTGTGTCTCCACATTCCTGATCAGGGAGGTTTTCCTCATGTACAACAGCGTGTTCCCCGTGTGTGTGTGTAGCTATACGCACTGAAGCTACTGAAATTTACTTGTGGCTGTAAGGTGGTAACACCCGTTATTGCTGACATATCACCCCAAAATAACTTAACACAAACAGCACAACTAGTTTTTCTGCCGATTTAGATGCCCACTCTAAACACATATAGTATATTCTCCTTCATTACAGCCAAATTCATTATATTGCTCATTTACTTTTTTTTTTTTTTTTAAATACCAGCATCTGTGCTGTGATATTGACATTTAATATGAGAGATGCTGCTTCTCTTACTGCAGATTTCTAGGCATCACTAGATTGTGATATGAAATATGTGACTGTTTGATCAATAACTGCAGCTAGTTGCTAAACTAAGAAAAAAATATCAAATTTGATGCACTCATTTAATGAAAATAAAAAAGTTGGGGGGGGGAATTAAGAGCAGACCAACTGCAGTGACTCAAAAGGTATTTTTTATGTGCAGAGCCATTTTTAGCTCATCTATAAACTAAACAAATGCAGGTCAAATATATCTGGTTTCTCCTACACTACAGGAACAAAAGGTATTGAGTCACCTACACTTTACACCTACAGGAGCTGTTCAGCCTTGGAAACCCATGCCATGTAGCTCCTGGTGCACAGTTTGTGTGCTGATGTTAATGCCAGAGTTTGGCTGTTACTGAGTCAGCGGAGTGTTAGAGCCTCAGGACTCGACGACCCTGCTCTGCCACTTTGAAGCAGAGTTGCTGTGGTTTCTAAACACTTTGACTTTGCAATAATACTACTTAGAGTTCATGGTGGAATATCTAGGAGGGAAGAGATTTCATGAACCGATTTGCTGCAACAGTACTATCCCTAATATAGCACCATGCTCGAATTCAGCAAACTCTTTAGACTGGCTCTTTCAGCAGTGTTTATAAAGTCAGACTGCATGGCTAGGTGCTTGATTTATACATTTGGGGCGATTGTGGCTCAAGAGTTGGGAGTTCGCCTTGTAATCGGAAGGTTGCCGGTTCGAGCCCCGGCTTGGGCAGTCTTGGTCGTTGTGTCCTTGGGCAAGACACTTCACCCGTTGCCTACTGGTGGTGGTCAGAGGGCCCGGTGGAGCAAGTGTCCGACAGCCTCGCCTCTGTCAGTGCGCCCCAGGGTGGCTGTGGCTACAATGTAGCTTGCCATCACCAGTGTGTGAATGTGTGTGTGTGAATGGGTGGATGACTGGATATGTAAAGCGCTTTGGGGTCCTTAGGGACTAGTAAAGCGCTATATAAATACAGGCCATTTACCATTTGAATTTGAAATTTAAAGTGTTTACCAAAATCTACATAGTGTATTAGAGTGGGCAATAGACAAATGGCTGTGTTGCACATAAACACTGGAATTTGCTGTGTGCAGCCATATGTAGGAAGTCATCCAGTATTTACTTAGACAGCAAGTCAACAGCACATTCCTCTATTAATTTACACTATGGGCTGCAGAGATGAGACATTAACAAATTTGTGATTCAAATTGCAAACAAAATTTGCTCTTCACATTTTACAAATGAAACACTCATTCCATAAACTCAGTTAAAGTTAAGAAATCTGACTTGGTAACAATTAGTGCAGCCCTCAAGTCATCATGTAATGGAAAAGTAAATGGGTTGGACTTATCTTATCCCAATCATCCAGCAGGCAGTCTACAATAATGTACCTGACAAAATAAGGATCTCCAATCATTTTCAATCTGCACTGGATTCAATTCCTTGTCTCCATTAAAGTCCTAAACCGGTTTGACCGTGGTAAACGGCTTTAAACTATTAATGTTGGAATTCACCTGTTCACAAACCTGCATGCGTCACGTGTGGGCACGTCCGTCCTCGTAGCTCTTTACAACTTTACCAGCACTCTGCTTGCTGAATTAACTGTAATACTCCCTCCTTTAAATTAAAAATGAAATCTAACCTAAACATTTAAAGTGGCAGGCGCACAAGGGCACTGTTAAAGCCAGTTTAAAAGCAACTGACTTCCTGCAAACTGATTCCCGTTTCATCCTGATTTACCATTAGTCTTCATTTCGAGATAAATTAATAATGTCACAGTCCTGACTGGAAGTGATGATGTGCCTATGACGCTCACCACCACACACACTTTTCACCATCATGTTTTATAACTTGGAAACTATGCCATGCTTGTCATAAAGAAGTCATCCAACCAAACAAGTAAAACGACCATAAACAAATAATTGCTTCCCAACAGCTCAGAATGCGTGGAATTCATTGGGCAGCGGGGTGATTTAGTGGTTGACGAGAGTGGCTCGTAGGTTAAATCTCAGATTTGAGTCCTCTGACAGCTGATTTGTCTTAATGAATTGTTGCAGAGTTAGATTTGCTGTCTGCTTACAAACTACAAATCACTCAGGGTAAGAGTGTGAGCTCAGTGCCACTATGTAAATAAATGGGTGTCTGGTGAGGATCGTTACTTGACTGAAACACAGCTGCCCCTTTAGTTTCAATATTTCCCACCCCTATTTATCATTTACGAACTTTATTCAAAATAAACAGAAGTAACAAAAGCTTCTTCTTGAAAAGGTCATACAAGACTGAGTGACCTGAAACCTCAAGCCCAACAGGTGGCTGTAGATAAACACTGACTAATGTCCACACTAACATTTTAGTGTTGTAACTTACTTCCCATGCATTGCATTAGCCCTCAGACTTTTGCAAATGCTGCTGAGCTCCAGCACTGCAGTGCAGTGCTAACTACTACACCACCAGTGCATGGCGGCATACCAAGTGTCAGTTGTCTTAACATACACATTTTCAAGACGGACAAAGACTCCCAAAAATAATACCACTGTTTCACCTTAAACTGCTATAATCATATTAGTGTAGGTATTGTGCAAACCTTCATCTCTTGGGATAGACAATTAGTCAATGGAAATATCCCGCTGAGAATACCAAACCCACACAGACATTACCAGTGGATTCATTAGTAAACCCCAGTGTCTATAACAGTCTCTGGACACAGTCTTTACCTGTTTCAAGAGATCCTCACCTGTGACACTGGGAGTAATTCCTACCATGATCTACTGAAGTACAAACACACAGCTGAAAAGGCCATGGCCCTGCTACAGATCCATTATGCAGACTTTAAAAATAATAATAATAATAATAATAATAACAATAATAACAACACAAATTTAAATAATAAAAGTCCTAAAATGCACCTTACACATCTATCCCAATTTCTGAAGCAACCCAACAAACTCAAACAAGTATATAAGGTCAACTCTACAATTCTTAGAACATAAACTGGGGCAATGAACTATGAAAACGTGAGCTATGAGTTCAATTTGAAAGAGTAAAGCTGGAAAATTACTGTCATTATAAAACAGTTCTGAAGATCAAAGCAAGGCAAACAAGAAAAACCGCTAAATAAATTACTTAAAGAAAGCTACATGTCAAAGTGTGGGTTGATATGCATTTGGTGATATATTGCTACTCACAGATGGAAAATCAAAGTCCTTCTGATTGACAAAGTTGAGGATGTATTCAATCCGGTACTGGTTTTCAGGACATGCCAACTGGACAGGTGGGGTTAGGGTAGTCATAGCTGTTACTATGGTCTGTAGAAAAGACAAACCCAAAGAAAAACGATAAGACAACACGACAGGTTACGGCCGCATTTGTCTAAGCTGCTACTAAACCACCAACAGCACACTTACCTCGATAGCCTCTTTAATATTATTCTTAATGTCCTGGATTTTCTGCTTCTTCTCTCTGAAACAGAAAATGTTCAATGAGAAGCAGTAAATCGCAGAAATACTGCAAATGTCTTCAGAACAGGAAAAAAAGTGCATGCATATAAAAACTGTTTGACTGAGATGAAGTGCTCAAAACATGTAAAACGAGTTCTACTTTTGTCTGCAGGTGATTTGTTATATATAGAAAAAGTTAATATCCTAAAGATTTTGGATATTAATGTTTAGCATTTAACCTGCAATACATTGAGACCACAAATTAACCATAAAACAGCAATAATCTGAAACTGTTAAGAGGGAGCAAAGTAGAGTAAATAAAAAGACAAGACATAATTTAGCGTTAAAAAAATAATTTAAGGCTAATGGTGACAGAATGATTACATTTGTTTTTTGAACCAGTCGGTGACATTTTGTCAAACAGACAAAACTGCATGATACAAAAGCAACTTCACATCCACTGAAAGAAAACAGCCATTCTCACAGCTTGCACTGCAACTCTGCCTCTCTTCAAACCACTATATTTACATCAAAAACATGTTTAGTTTTGCTATAAAGTATCATTTTAATGAAGCTTAGAGAAAAAAAAAAAAAGAAAAAAGTGTTAGAGGTCCCTCTTACCCTGACCGGGTGCATTACAGTCCACTGTATTAGGTTTGTTTTTGGTCTGTATGGGTAAACAGACCTTCATTGACATGCATGCTAGCGAAATTATGTCTGTCTGCTGTAAACGATAGCTGTGTGTTTGAGACATTTGGACTGACAAAAAAAAATGTTTCTAATAAAAGGCAACCAGAGAGCCAGTTAGTCTATCTTTCACCTTGAGCCTGCCAGGACAACAGTACATTGTGTTTACAATAGCTCCATGTCAGTGACAAGGGTGAAACGGTCCCCTTTACAAACTTATCTACACTTAACAGCCACAAATGTATGTATACAGCCAAAGCCATGACACCACAAGCTAACGTCTGTTCACTAGCTTCAGTAACTTGGCATTTCTGGCACTCAGTCTTTGTGGTGAAAGAAAAACAAAAACATATTTTACAAACCACATGTGAGGTAACTGGAAAGAAAAGAAAAATAAAATGGGGGGGGGGAAGAGGAAGAGGTTATGAGGGGAACTGGGAAGGCACATTTACATTTTTAAACTGATAGTCAATGAAGACTGTCACATGGTTGTGTGATCTCTCCAGAGAGACTGCTTCCCTCTGTATGGTTAGAGAGAGATTGACTTAAAGATGCAACATATATGCAATATGTGCTACAGTGATTGCGTCCAAAAAAACATGTGTTCAACAAAAAAAGAAAAGCGTTTAGGTGGATGATAGCCTATCTAAAGAGGGTTTAAAATCAATATCAATAACATTCTGTACTCTAGTGTGTTGCATAACATGGATTAATTAATAATCAACTGGCCATCTATACCAGGGGTGTCAAACATGAGGGGTGGTGGCCAGAACGGGGTCAGCAAAGTCCCCCCCAAAAAAGAGAAAAAACAGACTTGTATGAAACTGAAATTCAGCAAGTTGTAAGAAGCCACATTAAGTTAACATGAAGACTGTATAGAAGTCTCACTTCAGCCCATTTTTAAGCTTGCTGTGTTGGTTTCATGGCCAAGGGGGTGGGGGGATAATAATAAAATGAACTGCTTTGATTCAACTTTAAGGCCCATCATCTGCCCCTCCCCCTCAATAAAAATGTCCCAAATACCCCAGTCCTCATTTTTGCCTACTTTCCAGTTCCAAATGCCTTGCCCAAGGGCAGCTAAGTCACGTTTGTTCAAAGAATATGGAGAGATGAGTCATCCATTCATCTATTTCCCAAATCACGCCAGCAATTGGAACTGCCAGTCTTCCGGTCACGAGACAATTACTCTGACATTACCATGATGCCACAACACTCAATCCATTCACCCCAAAATTCTTTTTGTCACAGGCCTTATTGAACCCTTTAAGGCTCAAATCAGTATATTATGTCCTGCCTGAGGATGCAGGCAAATTAAAGCACATTATTATGCTTGTCATGTGAAGTCCGTTCTGGAACACCGTTTTGGTTTAAAGAGACCTTCATTGATGAAGGTGATTAATTCCAAAGGTGACGTCTGATCAGACATACAGACAATAAACCTAACATGAAAATCCTCCAGTTTACTGCATCTGAGGACAGGAATGAACCATACAGGTCTCAATAAACACAAGTCACATTTATGACTCCAATGGCACTCTACGGATTTGTTTCTTAATGAAGACAGATCTCACCCATGCAAGCAGAGACGGACACACTGACACACACTGTTCTGTGTTGTGGAGTCACACACTGGGTCATATGCCCAAGTTCGCCTTAAGTGCTGAAAATCTAGCCTAACCTCGCAAAGATACTTCCATCTTATCAATACATGACCACCACCAGACCAATACAAACATCTTATTTTACTCCTGAAACTGGTTAAGCAAAAGTTAAAGATGTGCTCCCAAAAACACTGAGGAGGGGGGAAGAAATGCAACACAAGTGTAGTCTTTAGAGTTTTCACACAGAGGGTTTAATTTGTTAGACCACTCAGCTAGATTAACCCTCAACCAAGTATGCTTGGTGATTCAGTTCAACCCCCCACCCCCACTCCAATCCATCAGAGGAAACAACTATCAGTTATATTGTTGGTCACCGTTGGAGTGACCTTAGGAGACCCTGACAGAAACTTGTGCAAGTACTATAAAAGTTCAGCTGCTGGCTAGCTAGCTCCAACTCCCATCTCATGTTCTCCTATCGGAAAGCTGACCAGGACACTGATCTAGTGGTCTTTCATATCATTCAGCCTTCTCTCTATTTTGTCTGGTGTTCAGACGGACTTCTGCCCTGGAGATCTCTTGCAAGAGTGCCACTACCCTGATCTTAAAATGAGCAGCATTGCTAACTACTCTTCAACATGGTGGAGCTAGCAGTTGAGGCACTGGAGAACAGCAAATTATTGGAATCATTTATCACAAAGCTGGCTTAATTTTACTTGTAGGTGAGCAGTTTTTAGAGTACTGACTGTCAGTTCTTTAAGCCGGCTTGGAGCACCTTACCCTTACATGCATGCTTCTCCTTACCTGGGCAGATTTCAAAACTTAAACTAGGCCCAGTCATAGCAGTCAATTTAGCTTTGACCAGAGGTGGTCAACAATGAGTGAGCTAAGTGGCATCATAATGTCTTTACAGAGAATTAGCTCACTAAATAATCGCTTTTAACCAAATCAAAAAATGTCTAATTTCTGCCAATACTAGCATATCAATAAATTAATAAATAAATTACTTCAATGCTCCAGGGCTATATAGTAGAAGATGAAACTACCTTTAGGATTCTATTGCACCATTTTACAACTGAATCAATACAAGTTAGGTCTACTAAAAGTTGACAAAGTATCCCACTATATAGTCAGTTCGCTTCACAGTGAAAAGCCTGCAGGCTGGTCAGCGACCCCTTGGAAACCTCCAGTTGCTAGCAAAAAGTGTAAATTTGCCAGATGGTTGGCAAGTGGTTGCTGGCTGTTGCTAGGTCAAAGTAGTTGCAAAGAGGTATACTTGTTTCATTAGAAACTTATGACCATTGACAGAAACTCTTACAGGGGTCTCTGTGGCGCTGAGAGGAGGAGATGTAGATTCAGCCTGGGATAAAAGTCTTCAAACCCACAAGCCAACATGAGCCTCAGACTTAAAAGAGCACTCAGCAGAATGCTGCTCATTCTCAGCCTCACTCTAGTACTCACTCTGCATTGAAGCCGTTGACATGTAGGATCCTCATCTGTTTCACTATGGTGCTCTTTCCCGACTCTCCAGCTCCTGAGAGAGAAAAAGTGAAAATGGATTATGTACCTTACGGATACACTCACATGCACTCAGTGTTGGGATAAAATGGGTGTTTATCTGAAATACCAGTTTACAGTGCAAGTACAACTTCCTTTATGTGGACACAAGCACTGTAGCTCACTACAAGGTTAAAGGTCCCAAACTGTTATGGGTTTGACTGAATAAGTTGCCTGCAAACTGACAATTAGTGCAGTGCCCGCTGTTACAGGCATGTTCGCACCGGTGACATTACTATGAGGTCACAGAGGTGTGAGAACAAGTGCAAATAAGGCCACCAATAAAGCACAACACTAGATTATTATCCAAGGGGCCAGAGAACAAAAGACCTTGAGGTTCCTTTTTAAACTACTTCAAATAATGGTTTAATTTTGAATAAAGTATAACATCTTGTTGCGTCTGCCCCTACAATCTCTTACCCTTTAAGCAACTATGACAAAATACAGAAAAAAAAAAAAAAAAGCCCCAAAACAATTCGAAAGCCGATTTGTGTGTCCTGGGGAGAAAACATGTTAAGGTGTGCACACAAGAGGAATATTCTGATTATTCAATATCACCCGGGATGGGAGACTGCATTCTGCAGCATCACAATGAGTGGCCCCCCCCCAAAAAAAAAAAAAAAAAAAAAAAAAAAAAAAAGCCAGCACCAAGAACCATCTGCCAAGAACAAGGGGTCCATCAACAGATGCTGTAACCCCCCCACAGAGTCCTGATCTCAACACCATGCTCTCAGTTAGACTAAGACTAGCTAAAAGTATAACATATCACAATTCTCCTAAGATACTGCATGAAAATTTTGAATTGTTAAAAAATAAATACATAAATTAAATCCAATTAGGGTTTTTTGTGTTTGTATTCAGATGTCAACAATACGCTTGTCGTCACTTTATCTGAGCCTGAACCTTACTGTGTAATACTGTATATGTGTGTTATTCATTTTCGTTTCTCATTTCTATTTTAACAGACTGAAATTGATAGCATGCAGCACTACCGGGCCGTTAGTGGTAAGCTGCAGGTTGCCAGATGAATTGCTTGGAACTGCTATAAGAATGAAACTCAGTTTTTGCCCTGTAATGTCAAACCTACAGCATGCAAGGCTACATGAGGAATGAGCAAATTTAGTTACAAGACCCAATGTACACCAAGATGTATGCTTTTCCCGTTTCAGGCGGCCTGAAACAATTTAAAAAAAAAAAAAAAAAAAAAAAAAAAAAAAAAAGGGCTAAACAGCTGTCATTTTTTGCTCATCTTAATTATTTCTGGTGTTCACTTACATTAAGGTAAAATTAAATTGACCTTGAATTAAATAAAGACAAATGTAAGTTACAACCCCCCCCAAAAAAAAAAAACAAACAAAAAAAACCTAACGTACTTAAAGTAAAGCTTAAAACAGACTTAAGCACAAAGCCACAAGTACATCAGTTTGTTTGATTATTTAATATCTAGAAGAAGATTAAATATTTATTAGGTGATTTTTTTTAACTATTGCTTGACATGATGAGTGACTGTTGAAGTAAATGTCTAAATACATAATTACATGTAAAACTTATTTTGGCATTCTACAGTATTACAGCAATACTGAATATTTCAAAGTAAAGTTAAAGGCGTAATAAGTGGCATGTTTGTACAGATGTCATTTATCTTAGGGCTCTTTTCTCCCTTTCTGTCCTACTTTGGACAAATGAAAAAAAGTTAAATACATTTCCAAGGTAAAAAGACGAAGTCTAAAGTAAAAAAAATAACTTAGTCAGCTTTACATTAGCATCATCTGACAGTTTGCACCAGTTTAGGCTGCGATTCCCAGCAATGAAGTGCAACTGTTAGTCAAGCACATCAGAGAAGCCACACAAGTCTGGGACTTGTGCATTTTGATGGCTCAGCTTGCTACAGTATATATCATGAACTCGTAACATCATGAGCTCGACGATAACTGATGACCTCGTGTCACAGTGCTCCCTCCTTCTCTGCCCATTACCCGTCTTTTACCAGACTACATTGTGAAGCAATAAAATAAGGACAAATACTAAAGTACACTTTAGTTTGGAGAATGTTAACCACACAAATGATTTTAAAAAGTAGGTCATATATAGCCAAATGAGTATTATCCAAAATGAAAATACCGACCGACTTTAACACCTTAACAATGGCCCTTTAAAAAGGGGGAACTTTTGCCACATGGCCACAGTGAGCATATCTGCTAGTAGACCCTTTAACATTGGCAGTTCTATCAAATTAAATCAGAGAAGATACCCCAGAATGTCAGACATCAACCAGCCAGAAACAGAATGATAGAACAATACTTTGGTCCATTATGTGGCAGGATTGTTGAAGAAAATCAAGATTTTGCTCCAAACATAACATCCCAGTGCACTTCAAGCTGAGTAACACCCTCAGACCAAAACTGGTTCATCCCAAGGACAACACACAAACATAAGCTAAACAGCATAGTGTATGCAGTACAGTCAGGAATACGTGGACCTTTAAACAGGACAAACCCAACAACCACCTTACAAATGTATAACACAACATAGGAGAGCCAGCTCAAGACTCAGCTGTACACTTGTACCTAAAGGAGAAGGACACCAGTGTTCACATTTTCATCCAAGACGGACGGTTTGACAGGGGAGTGAAAGAGGCCACCTAGGTCCACTTTGATTTGTTCATTGTTGAACACCAGCTATCACGACCTACAACACAGTCTCAACAGTCCTTCCCAGGCATTACAATCCCCACTCACACTTTGCCTCAGGTGACCTCAATAGCTCACATGATGGTGGGGTGGGAGATATGATATAAGAAATTTCATACCATGCCCCCAGTGACAGAATGACCCATGCCCTTTTATTTTTTTAACACTACTGATCATGCGAGATTCCACATGATCAACGTTGGGTCAAGGACCATCTCCAAAGAGACAACCCCAACTAAGGGTTCAATACCTGGGACTGTCAGTCATTTTGGAAGTAAAGAAGCCTCTTGGATAAACTTAAAGAAGCCCAATTATGTTCTTTTCAAGCATTCAAGACAATCATGATCTGGATGACAGAGAACCTGCAGAAACATGAAATCTAAACTGCCATTAGGCCCTTCACAGCCACAGAAGTCATCAGCACTGAAACTCCTGCAACATTGCTTAAACTAAAACATCAGATTAGCTGCTAATATAGTTGTATGCTAACACAGCATTTAAAAAAAAACCCAAACAAAAAACAACAAAAAGAAAATGCTTGTTCCTTTGTTTTGCAAATACTGTGGTAGCATTAAAGATGCAATTGTTTTTGTCATGGCAAACTCATTAAATATTGCTTCACATGCAATGTGGCATCTAAAACCTGTTTACATTAACACCCTGAGAATTTAGGATGCTTTTTTATAATGAAGAAGTCTGACAAAGATGCCAAATTAAAATGTAGTAATTTACAGGATTAATGGTGTGCAGCAAAATGTGGTGGGTTCCACGTCAGGAAGCATGACTGTTCATCTGGTGTAGTATCATGATGGACAAGAGCTGAACTGCATCTGGGGCACCCTGCAGTGTTCTGACAGAAAAGCTAGCTTGTGGGGTTGACCAGTATAAGCACAGAGCAATCCAGTAGTCTTTTTGTACTGCTACCCTTCACCCATTGAGTCTTATTTAACAGGTCTCGTTAACATGGACCTATTAAGGCTTTAATTAGACTGGGTGGTTAATCCAATCAAAAGCATACTGAGCAAAACACATAAATGATCTGCAAATTTAAACCTTGTGGGCACGCATGCTCAAAATTTTGCTCTGCCAATAGATGGTCAACATTTGTGTTTTAGCTAGGCTACAATACAAACCAACACTACAAATGCTGAAGAATCGGTTAGGTTGTCTGTCCAGCTTTAACTCGTAGACTCTTTTTGGTCAATTTACTGCCTGTCAAGCTGCAGAGATCATCTTATTACCAACAAAGCTAACACAAGGTCTAGTAGCAGGTGTGAACTGAGTGTCCCTTTTTTATGCTTACTTACTTTTGCTCACCCTTAAAAAAAAGTTTCCTTTAAGGGTCGCATTTAAATCAAGCTGATATTTTAGATCTGAAAGACCTAAAAATTACAGAAGGTATATTTGTTTTGTCCTTCTCCTTTCCAAAAGTCATCACAACTTCCTCCCTAATGCAAGTAGTGACATGTCATACAATATCCACCCTCAATAGTGATATGTTCAAAACAAATTGACCCCCTCCCCCAAGGGTCCGCCGCAAATTCTTAGAAGTCAAAACCCTCTGAATGGATATACGAGGAGGGTACAGATGAGAGCTTTGCAGGAAACAAAAAACACTCTTATATAATGAAAGAGACCCACTCACACAACCACATGTTGAGTCTTACACATATTCATTTCTTCATTAACCAAGTTTTGGTGTGCTTTTCTTTGAGTCACATTATCTTATGTTTGGGCAACACACCCACAAACTGGCATGTGATGTAAAGCTTCTGTTAGTTTGGCAAATTTGAGGCCTGCATGCATGATTAGTGCTAAAAATGAGCACTGTTCAGCATGCTGCAAAGTCCCAGTTTAATACAACTGAAAAAGAAAAAGGTGTTAAAGAACAAACATACATAACTTAATGATCAATTAGGACAGGCTGGTTCCGATTGATGTTGGTGCTCGTTAATCCTGCAAGCAGTTTACCCCACCTTACAGGTTTGCCTCACTGCATACTCTAAAACCAGCCAATGGGCTGTGCTACAGCAGGTTTGGGGAGTTAGCATTGCAGAATGACAGTCTGACAGCAACATGCCAAAAACCCAGCACCGTATTGCATTTTTGGCCTTATGCAAGAGCAAAGTCACACTGTTGACAATGTTTCCCAAAACAACATCCCAGAAAGTTTTGCAGGGAGGAAGCAGGGTCTCAACCGTCCAAACAGAGGCCTTGTCTGTAAAGCAGCAAGCACATAAGATCTGTAAAAATGTGTCAAACTCACCTAGAAGTAGTAGTCTGTGTGTTGCTCTGTAGATCTGTTTGTCCTTTTGGAGCTGCTTCTCTATCTTTTTGTTTGCTTCTCTTTGAGCCTTCTCCTCATTTCTCTGGTCTTCGGTCTTACTGTTGCCCAAACAACCCATCTTCCCGCAAGAAAAAAGAAAAAAGGGGGTCCAGGGGAGGAGGAAGAGGTGGTGGAAGAAGAAGTAGAGGAGGAGGAGGTGGTAGTGGAGGGGGAAGGGAAGGTGGGGGGGTAATGTAGAAAGAAAAATAAATCAGATAAACTAGTCTAGATGCCTCGTTTGACCCGCGGATTTGGCAGCAACGTTACCCACATTTACACCGTTTAAGGTCCGTGGCGCCCCTGTGTAGAGATTTAAAGTCCGTAACGCGTATTTTGCTGTCAGAGAAAGGGCAGGATACTGTTGCTGACGACACGGAGGCCGCCTTCTCAGTTTGCTGAATCCGGCTCGGGCTTTTCCCTTTTATATGCAGTAGTTTGTGTTTCGTTTTTCCAAACTCTTTCCCCCCCCCCTTCAGCCGTGTAAGATAAAGACTTGTAATCCACAATGTCCGCTATAAGACCCAAAAACGGCGGTTCACCTCAAACGGAGGCAGAAAAAAACAGCCTAATTTGCATCTCCAAAAGCCCGGGTCTTGCGTCTCACAGCTGCCCGTGACAAGGAGCCGAACTCGGCGTGTCCGCAAAGCTCGCCTGTGCTGTAGCGCCGCTCGTTACCACGTCGCTTTTCATGACAAACATTTCCATGGGTGTATACTTAGACTCTATATCTATTTTTCTGTCTCCCCGACGGCTGTCTTCGTCGGGGACCCAGCAGGACAGCTGTAAGGAAAATAATATTTACACCCAAACGAGCTACATGTGTGGCATTCTCGCTTCTTCCGTCGTCACCCGGCTCTTTTTCATTCTCTGCATCAAATCAGCCCCAAACTCACTGCGGTTGTCTTTTCGTCTTGATCCCTCGCCACCTCCAAATCCGAAATGATCCAGTATCCCCCCTCCGATTTGTCCTCCTTATATGTGATGGCTGTTCCTTGCTGTTTTCTCCTCCAAAGGGCCTTCTCTCTCTCTGCCCCTCGCTTTTGTTGCTGAAATGTGTTATCAGCCCCTCACATCACCACCAAGCCTCCAAAACTGCGCACCGATAGACTTTTTTTCTTAATTTCTGGCTCGACTCCGATGAATCCCTTCAAAAGAGAGAGGGGGGAAATAATTACAAAAAAAATAGGAGGGGGACAAAATAACAGAAAAAGAAAACGTGACCAAAGACGTGAAAATCCCTCGAAATGTATCCACGTTTCTTGCAGGTGAAAAAGCTACACCCGCTGTCAGGCTCGGCTTTTATAACCTACATACGGCCTATACATGTGCACACACGCTGTCATACAAACATACATTTATATACACATATGTAGATTCCTCTTGAATCCTAGGTGGGTAAACAGGCTACAGACTTGACACTACATGTGCATTTACATTCACAAAAAGTAGGACGCGGGGCTGTTGTAGCAGCACATTCCCACCGTGAAGGCCGCTCCCCTCCTGGCCGCTGGTCGAGGAAGGTGAAAGACGGGAATACCCGATTCTTGGAGGTTATTATTTTCTCCCTTTCTCTCTTGCTTTCTCTCTCCGAGAATAGTAGCCTACATTGAACAGATAGACAGCGCTTTTAGAGAGACGGGGTGGGGCCACACAACGCTCATTGAACCCTGGGAAGGAAGGACCGAGAGAGGAGGAGGAGGAGGAGAGGCCGCTTCGCCTGGTCACGTGATCCGGGTGCGGAGCCGCGTTAGCGGCGTGGCTGTGCGGAGAGAGAAAAAGGCGCCCTCTTCAAGGAAAAAAGACCTGAGGTGGTTTGTATGCAGGAATAACAGCACAAGAGCCCTCTGAGCAGGGCTACTCAAATCTTAGAAGACCACTAGATATGTTCTGTTACAGACATTTATTCACGGAAAAGTACAAGCACATCAGCAGCGGATTATACTGAGTTATACTATTAGGAAGACTGGTGCATTAAGTTACTTTCAAGACATAGGCTTAACACTATTATACCCATTTCTTAAAATCTGCTAAAATAGTTTTCCATAACTCACGATTTAAATAATCATTCTTTATCTTGTGAAATAAGCTGCCCTCACTTTAAGCTAATTCTGACTGGCTTTCTCTTGTAAAGCACGTGAGTGTAACAGGCGCATTCAGAATTTTTTTCATAGGGGTGGCCATATGGGGGCCACTAAAAATATTGGGGTGGCACACCAAAAACAGAAGAGTGCCGGGCGCAGTGGTGGGGAGAGGGTGACATCGTAAGGGACATACAAAGTGACACAAATGACAAAAATAATGCTTCAGCTCACTGTAGGGCACAAGTGTCGAACTCCAGGCCTTGAGGGCCGGTGTCCTGCAGGTTTTAGATGTGCCCTTGAGCCAACACAGCTGTTTTAAATGGCTAAATGACCTCCTCAACATGGCTTGAAGTTCTCCAGAAGCCTGATAATGAACTAATCATTTGATTCAGGTGTGTTGGCCCAGGGTGATATCTAAAACCTGCAGAAGACCAGCCCATGAGGCCTGGAATTCGACACCCCTGCTGTAAGGTGTCTTCCTCTCTCTTGCGCTCACATTTATTAAAATTATTACCAACACAGGACCCACCCTAGGGGGGGGGGTAACAAATCTTGGGGGGTGGCCAGTGCTGCCCCCTGGCTCCCCATTGGCACACAGCTGTCTGCCTGAGATGACTATATTAAAGATATCTGTTCTTACTGACATCATATAAAGCCACAAGTTGAAGAAAACTGCGACTGCTTTTGACTTTGCACACACAATGACCTATTTTTTTTTAAACTGAGTATTTATTGTTTTAATAGTACTACACGTCAGAGAAAATAAGGGTCTCCTTTAATAACGCAGGTGGTGGAACTGTTTGACTACTTAGTGTCACTCCATAAATTCATGAGAAAAATAAAACAGCCACGTGCAATATTTTTTTTCCTATAAAATATTGTGAAATATAAGTATCAAGTGGCATACCATGCAAATCTTTAGTGAGGGATGAGGAGTCCCATAGTGTCCTCCAGATAAAAAAACTAAAATCCACATTTTTTTATTTAGAAATCGAAGATAATAAAGCCACAGATAAAAGTCACCTGTGGCAGAAGCTGTATTTTCAAACACAAATGAGTAGAGCCAGCTGTGCTGACATTAGCACTCTCTACTCCTAAAAGCTCTGACTGATACATACCAAAGTGTTCAGCTTCCTCTAGATATCCATTATTTATTGTATAACCTGTAACCAAACCTACACATGTATTCACTTCATATAATATCCCGATCGAGTCCTGGGCGGAGTCTTTATCCCTTCTCCATCTAGATCTAGAGATATCAAATAAAATGTGCTATAGCCTGTGATAGTGGATGTAATCTATCAGTTCTCTGCCATTGGAGCAACACGGCTCTCCTTTACCAATATTAAACACAATACTAAAATACCACAAGTCACAGCCAGCTAATCTAAAGGCTAAATGACTTGGTTAAAGCATGGCTTTGAACTTTTATGTCCTGGTGAACTTTGAAAAGTTAATGTACATGCTTCAAAACAAATGTCCAGAATCCAGAATCCAAACTGCAGTTAGGACTTTTAGACACTGGGTGGCAGCAGTTTTCAAAATCAGCGAGGCAGGTTTGGGTTTAAGTCAATTGCTTCTGAGTTATCCCCATGACATTCATACACATTTGACTGTAGAGCACACCACACCAAATCAAGTAACAGTATTTACAACATTTTTGAGTTTTGGATTGTTAATTGCTGTTCATTTTGTATTCTCTGTTTGCTTTTGTTCCTTGAATTTTGCTTTGAACCCTCATTTTAGAGTTCAGATTTTCTTTACCTCTTACTTTGCATTAATTTTTTTTTTTTTTACTTTATTCTAGTGCAGTCTAGGCTCCTTTTTAAGTGTTTGTCTCTATTCTGTTCCCTTTCATCTACTTCCTGTTTTATTTTATTAATCCTCTGTGTCTTTTGCATTGCTAGTACAGGTAGTTTTAATTCCTTTTGTTAATCCCTTAATTAGTTACAGCTGCGCCTTGTTACCCTGGTGTTTCCAGTCTCCCTGATGTCTGCCTGTTGGTCTCAGAAGTCTGCATTTGGGTGCATAATCTGCACTTTCTTGACAAAAATTAAATAAACACATTAAGTTTTAGATGTACATTTACGTTTCAACGTAAAAGTCACAATTTTATTGTACACATTTTTAAAAAACTGCTATTTTTTGAGTAAGTGAATCATATTAAACATACTGAAAAATATCTAAGCCGTTTTCACTGGCTTCCTTCTTTCTACTGATTTAAAACTAGAACCATGAAACTTTACCAAGATGTACTCCATGACCATGTGGTAGCCTTTGGTAGTCAGTCCGTTGCAGACTGGGAGCTCTTTAAAAATATTTTGTCAAATCCCCTGAGGAGAAGCCTACCATCTGTTCAAGTGCAATACAAAAAAAAAAAGCCACGCCACACCTTTTTGTTTTGACAACCATCTCTTTGAATATGCTAAAAGTCTAAAACATGTGAAATCAAGTTGTGACTTCAAACTTGAAATCAATCACAATCTCCTGTTAACTGTGTCCCCATTCATTTGAGTCACTAACTGCAAACTAATAGTATATATACCACATGTCGTTAGTGTTTAGTGTTAAAACTGGGGTAGGCATATTGCTTTGCATGTCACTGGAGAAAGAACTCACAATAACTTTTGTCATATTGTAATACAAATAGTCTAAAAGAGAACTAGACTCCTCCACCTTTTCTCTGTCCAGTTTTTCACACCATATCATGCGGGGAATATAAACTAGAATAAAGGCAGGATCTGCATGGTCCTATAGGTCCATTAGTCCTTGGACAAATGCACAGTTTCTTGTAGTTTTTTCTCCCTGCACCACCACCCTGATTTTAGATCAAACAATCAAGATATGATCTAACTGCAGCGTTTCAATTTTAATTCAAGGGATTGAACAAAAGCATTGAGTTAACTTTTAAGGTGCTAAAGTATTTTTATACATAGTCACCAATTTTCAGAGGCTCAATACTATTTGGACATTTGACTGACAAGCAACTGGTTGATAAAACATCTGGAAATGATACAGATTCAAACTTGTATTTGTTAGCTGTTCACTGGAATTCTCAATATTTGACTTACAAAGAGATGTCAGTGCAAGTGCCCATCCTCATGTGGGCTGAAACAAGTAAACCTATCAGAGAGACAGCAAAAACCTTCAGGAATAACCAAATCATGATCTAGTACATTATTTAAAAGAAGGAAGCCAAGCAAAGTATAGAGAAGGAAAGAAATAGCCCCTGATGCTAAGCATGTGACCAAACATGGTGGAGGTAATGTTGAATGGAACCAGGTCACTAGTATGTATTGATGGTGTGACTGCAGATAGAGGTAGCAAGATGAATTATGTAATTAAGTGTACAGGGTTACACTTTCTATTCAGATTCAGCCACAAAACTGGCCAGAGAGCACTTCACAATGGAAATGGATAATGACCCAAAAAGCATACTGTACAAGCAACGCAAGAGCCTCTCAAAACAAACAAATAACAAAAAATGGGCTGGTCTTTAATAGCCAAGATTTCAAGCAAAAAGACAAAACTGAAGCAGACAGACCTACAAACAAAGGCCTAGTCTGTCAAAATCAGCATTTGGTGATGTCCATAGTTTCTAAACTTCAGGCAGTCATTGACTGGAATAGATTTTCATCCAAATTCTTATATTTAAAATGAATGTAGCTTGTTTACTTAATTTTGACCCTCTGATAATATGTGACTATGTATAAAAATGACTATAGCTGCTAACCAGTTAATACACCATATCTTTTAAATCCCCTTGAATTAAAGCTGAAAGTCCACACTTCAACCAGATCCTGATTCCTTTATTTAAAATCCACAGTCATACTGTACTGAAGCAAAAGTACAAACACTGCTTCACTGTCCAAAAACCGAAATGTCTCTGTATAATGCAGCCTTAATATCAAGGCAGGTGTGGGTTTATTTGTATTTTTAAGGCGGTAGAGTGAAGTGCATCAGTGATGTATGCTGGCAAATGATCTGTAAATGTTAGAGGAACTGAAGTGAGACTGTTCCCGGCAACAGATCAATATTGGCTCAACACCCATCGAAACCAGGGTGCTAAACTCAGAGAGTAAAACTCACTTTGAGTCAGAGTGCCATTTCTACCGATTTCTGTGCACGTCCTCTTGCGCACATGCTGAGCATGAATTATTATTCTGATCTTAAAACTAAAACCTAAGAAAGGTGAGAACATCTCAAATATATTTTCCTATCTCTTAAATAGCTAAAGACACATGCACACTCACATGCACTCACATCCCCACCCAGGAACCTTCTAGGGCATGTCCGATGGCATCTCTTTCTAACTGCACTGTCATGAAATGTTAGCTGCACACTCAGCACTCATTGTCATCATGATCAATTTAGATTTACTGCTGAGGAGTAATTCAGCCTTTTTTTTCTTTCTTTCTTTCTTTCTTTCTTTTTTTTTTTTACACTGTGTGCTTATCTGCACACATCTAAATATCTATAAACATACACAAAAGGGATTTATTACTATAGCTTGGTGTTGTAATGTAACGACAATTTAAAAGTTAGATGTTAAGCATTAACTGTAAGCATTGTCAAAAATCCCTCCACCATTCTCCTGTCTGGCTGC